TTTTGGGATTTTCTATGTATAAGATCATACTATCTGCATTAGAGATAGTTTTACTACTTCTTTGCCAATTTGGATATCTTTTATTTTCCCTTTCTTGCCTTATTGCTCCGGCCAAGACTTGCAATAACAATATTGAATAGGAATGGTGATAAAGCGCATCATTGTTTCATTCCAGTTTGCAAGGGGAATACTTTCAGTTTCTCTCTGTTGAGACTAATGTTGTTACATTAGACCAACATAAAATTAGTCTTCCTTGTGGGTGGATGAATATTATCCTAGCACTGACAGCTTTATACTGCAGGATAGACCCTGAACTATTCTTTTGGATGATGCTATACTATACCATTTCTCTTCAGCTTAGTAGACCATATGATTGTCCGTTTCAAAATGGCCAATACCAGTCTACTTCATCTCACTAATGCGTATAATATAGATCTTTGTGTATTCCATTTCATTTTTGTTAACTTCCCATTTTCCAGGCTTCCTAGTTTATACTTTCCACATTCCTATTATTAATGGATGTTTGCAGCTCTTCTCATTTTGAGTGGTGCCATATTAGTCAATGAAGGTCCCGAAAGCTTAACTACATCCATGCCATTCAGGTTGACTCTACTTTGAGGAAGCAGCTCTTCCCCAGTTGTATTTTGAGTGCCTTCCATCCTGAGGGACTGGTCTTCCAGCACCGTATCAGACAATGTTTCATTGCTGTTCATAAGGTTTTTGGTGGCCAATTTTTCCAGATGGGGAAAGTCAGCCTTAGTTCCTAGTCTAGGAAAGTTCCTAGAAACTTAGTAGCTTGCTTTAGCCTGGAAGCTCTGGTGAAACCTGTAATGCTGCTGGTATATGAAATCCTGGTGGCATAGCTTCAAACAGTCACAGCAACATGATAGCTACCAAATATGACAAACTGACAGATAAGTGGTGGGGGTGTCGAGAGAAGGACTTTCATTCTCTCTATATACATTTCTCTGTTTGAATTTCTGCTAATTAATTTCCTTTGTGATTCAAAAGTGTGTAGTAAAATAATGTGCTGGATATCTTCGTTTTACTCCCTTCCAGATGCCCCTCCCCAGCTTTCTAGCCCTTTCTAGCATCCTGTATGTACTGCTCATGTTTGTGGATGGCATCAAGGGTGCCTAGTCCTGTTTTCCAGCTGGGTTTGCCCAATGGAAGACACCAACAGAACAGCAGACAATGGTAGGAAAGTGATGTTGAGGTTTTATTCCCTGGCCTTCTGTCCTTCTCCCAGTCCAGTCTAATCATCTTGCATTGGCCCTGTCCTCCAACTGAAGACCATCCTGCCAGATGCCCCTTTACCCACAGCTGCCATTACTTTCTCAGGTGATCTTTTTCAGGCTCACGGGTGACAATGGCCACCAAAAGCACGAGCTTGGAGAACCACATTGCATTGCTGTCTTCTTTAGATGCTTCCTATACTTTTGTAATTAATCCTTAGATAAAATTCTTCCTTTAGTACCCAGGTTTGAGTGCCACCTATTTTTTTATCCCTAAAGCCTGAACAATGCAAAAAACCCCAAAGCCATAAAGTACACCCAATCACTGCCATCAAGTAATTCCGACTCATAGCGACCTCCATAGGGTTTCCAAGGCTGTAAATCATTACAGAACCAGACTGCCTCATCTTTCTCCTGTGGAGCTGCTGATGGATTCACACCCCTGATATTCTGGTTAGCAGCCCAATGCAATGCCTTAGCCACAGAGCCATGACAGGTAACGCAATCAAATGTTGTTAGCTATCATCAGTCAGGTCCCTAAGTCATGGCAACCCATGTTCAACAGAATGAAATACCACCTGGTTGTGTACCATCCCCGTGATCAGTTGTGGACCAGACACTTGTGCTTCATAGGATTTTCATTGGCCGATTTCAGAAACAGATGGCTGTTCTTCCTAGTCTGTCTCTGTCTGGGAACTTCACTGAAATCTGCTCAGCATCATGGCAACACGCAACCTTCCACTGACAGAAGGGAGGTGTCTGCTCAGGAGGAGCATGGGCTGGGAATTGAAACTGGGTCACCCACATGGAAAGTGAGATTTCCACCACTGAACCATCAATGAATGCCTTCCACATAAGTATACAAATTGGTGGGGTTTTTTTTCCACTTCAATAAAAATAAAATTTTTAAGAGAGAATTTGAGCAACAAAATTTATTTTCATTAAAGGAAATATGCCTCAGAGGAAAAATAAGGTAAATGTTTCATAAGAGTACAAACTTAAAGCAGAAGTTCTGCTTCCCTTTCCCTGCATTTGTTGGATTTTGGGCCCTGAAGGGAAAGTTGGCAAATGTGAGATTTTTCTGATGTGTGTCCTTATGCAGCCCTGTGGAATCCTGCTGCAGAGATTGACTGACTCCCACAGCCGGAAGGGGCTGTGGGGATTACCCAGTGCAGCAATGAACAGCATACGTACCTCACAATTTGTGAGGCAGCCCTAGAGTTGTGAGGTACCAGTAAAAAACCACCTCCATGCAGCTGCTTCTTCAGTGTGCCTATGTAAAAACATTTTAGTGGCTAAAATACAGTGCCAATTTAGTTATTGGCATTCAGGAGAGTAAGCTAAGAATGATGACAGCTATTGTTCACAGAATGCTCACTGAGTCCTAGAGACTGTGCTCAAAGTTTTGCTTTCATCATTTTACACAATCTTCACCTAAGCTCCAGGTAGCAGATACTATCATTATTCTACTTTTCATCATGAGAAAAGCTAGGAGAGAAGCTAAGGGACTTGTCCGGCACTACATGGCTATTAAGTGATAGAGCCAGGATTTAAACCTGAGCAGGTTGACTCTAAAACCCATGATCCTACTCACTACTTTGTTCTTTCTTATTGCATAATGTAGGAGCTCTGGTGGTGCAGTGCCTAAGGCATTTGACTGCTAACCAGAAGGCTGGAGGTTCAAACCCACCAGCCACTCCTTGGAAGGAAAGCTGGGCAATCAACTTCCGTAGTGATACTGCCTCGGAAACCCAAGGAGGGGTCGTTGTGAGTTGGATTCGACTCAATGGCAGTGAGTTTGGTTTGGTTTGGTTATGTATAGATGTGTATGTACATGGGTTTGAACCGCCAGCCTTCTGGTTAGCAGTCAAATGCCTTAGGCACTACACCAACAGAGCTCCCAAAATATTTCTTAGTATCTAACATACCATGTATTATGTTCCATACCATTCAATATACCATAAAGTCATTTTAAATTAACTGCATAATATTCTGTTGCACCAGTGTCCCATGTTTTGTTTAATCAATGTTATTGCTGGATATTAATTTGCTGTACTTTCCTCTCAATAATTTCTTTCCAATTCTTAATCTCTCATATTATAATCTCTAACCTCAATATTTCCTCAATCTTCATTTCCTCAACTGTAAAATAACGGTAATACTACTACTGATCTTGATGATAATACTACTCTTTGAAATGATTAAGTGTGCATATGTAATGTTAGCTATTAGTATTACAATTATCATTTCATTTTATAATTATTATCTAATAGAACGTTCTTCCTGATGTGGAGTATGGCGGCCCTGATTCTCTCCATTTTGCTCACCACTACATGATTTGTAGTACGTAAATGTATTGTGCAATAAGGAAAAATGTTTGGAGTTTTTGAGTTTTTTTAAACAAATTACTCAAAGATATGAGTTAAAATACATTTTAGTGCTCCTGTCCCACAAATGGTTTCCACACTGATCAGTAAGAGTCACCAGTCCAGGTTAAATTCATATATACCTGAACTACCTACATAGGAGGCTTAGTTTACTGAATATCACTTGTCCTGAATTGTTTTACCACTTGTTAATGTTTCATGCTCATTATGCAACCAGAAAACTATTCCAAGACACTCACCTGTCATTGTCTCCCCTTAGGTAAATACCTAAGAGCCTCCCTATTTCTTATTTATACCTTTTCATCATTTATGATGATTTAGTGTCAAAAAGGGAAAATTTCCACATGTGCTCAAATCAAAACAAGATATTCTTTTTTTTCCTGTTTTTGTTTTTCTTTGTTGTGAAATTCAACTGTGGCCTTGGTTTGAACTTTAATTGCCTTAAAAATGGACTCATATAAAATAAAGTATGAGATGTGATAACATGTATCATTATATAATAATAATGATTTATTTTTGATACATGTTTCTGCTGGAGAGCTTTTCGGGCACCAGTGACTGACAAGCTCTCCTTAGAAATGCAAAACATGGCTGTTTTTTTTGTTATGGGGGTGATGTGATATCATGAGCCTCTCTCTCTCTCTTTTTTTTTTTTTTTAAATTTTTATTGTGATTTGGGTGAAAGTTTACAGAGCAAATTCAGTTTCCATACAGCAGCTCACGTCCACTTTGTCTCCGGACACTGACTGCAATTTCTCACAATGCAACAGCTCCCCTCCCACTTCCTCCTCATAGTTACCTCTTTCCTGTGTCCTCTCCCATGCTCTCCTGCCCCCTGAGCTGTCTCCCTGTGCGTACACAGCCCTTCTATTCCCGCATGAGAGCCTCTCATTGTTCTGTATCATCTTTTGATGACTTTTGTGGGAGTTTGGTTTGGTATATTCTAGTGAGACTCAGGCACTGGTGCGTTTTTTGCTGGGTTCTGAGTAAGGCTGAAATGGCACTGTGCTGATGTTTTACCCCACAAGGAAGTCACTAGGGAAATGCATCTTTAATATTGACGATTATGCTATCTGGAAAAGGGAATCATAGGCACATGTAACTGGAGCTTAGCCTTTACTTCTTGGATCTGAACTGTTGTTTTCTCCATGAATATCATGTATGGCACATAACTTACCATATAACACTCTGTGTGTGTGTGTGTGTGACAAAGAAAGAGAAGGAGGGAGATTCAGATTTCATTTTCCTTGAAAAATAGATATTTAGTAGCTTTACATTTTGTTATTTAGCATTAAAAGCAGTTTTAAACATATTTTATCTACTAAAAGAAAGGTTGCTGATTTAATATGAATTTTAATTAAAGAATATAACAATATTCTCAAGGTATTTTTTTCTTTTATTTAAAACATTAACTATCACAACATACCATATAATGAAATGAAGATCTTAGAATCACATTGTTAACTTTTAAAACATCTCTATATAGTCACAAAACATGAAACATGCTTCAGGGATACAAATATAGTTTGATACCAAAAGTTCAGTACATGTTCACCATGTAAACAAATAGGGGAAGCACAAGACTATCCATCAGTTTCCTTCTTTCAGCAGTAGCTGACATGACTGCTTCAAGGAAACAAAAATGATTTCTTTCTTAGGAGACTATAGCATTGACAGGTCTTACAATTTTATTGAGTACTGTGCTTTGTTGAGAAATTACCACTGATTTCTAGGTCAGAAAGAGAATTCCTATTAGAATTACAACACAGTTTTACAATACGTATTGGCACAATATTAAAAATAAACACTTTTTGAATTTTCAACTCAAATGATAGTTATTAATAAATAAATAATTATTCTTCATAGTGCATGTCTTTCATTGGCCATTGACACAAATGAAGCTCAATAAATAATACATCAGGGAGTTTATTTACGTCTTCTTTCAAAATTCTGCATTGCATTCCTTTCATAAGCCACTGAAAAAAGAGAGAAGGGAAAGTGATTTTTAAGAGGAGACACTGAACTAGTTAAACAAAGATCAAGGCATCCAACAATGTATGCTAAACTCAAAATGACATTGACCTGTATTGAAGTTTTTCTAAGAGTTTTATTTCTACATCTTCCAATTCTGCCTCAGTCTCTATCCTGATTGGAAGTGATCTAACCACAGAATCTTGGTTACATTGGTTCTCTCTCATACACTTAGTGCTCTAAAAGCTTATTTCCACAATAAAGTGTATGTTGGTTCTTACTTACCTGCTTTCTCAGTGGCAGACACCCACAGTGAATTTCAGAAAATGCGAAAGTAACCAGGCATTAACCAGGGATTATTAAAATGAAAACAAAATGTGGGACTTTTAATCTAGGGTCAACAAATTACAAGTCATGGACCAAACCTAGCCTACCACCTGCTTGTGTAAATAAGGTTTTATTGGAATATGGCCATCTCCATTATTTACGTATTGTCTATGGCTGCTTCTACATTCAAATAGCAGATATGAGTAGCTGCTATAGAGACTGTATGGCCCAGAAAGCCTAAAATATGTACTGTCTGACCCTTTACAACAAAAGTTGGCCAGTCCCTATTCTAGGGTACCTCCCAACGATGGATTGTCCTGGAGACTAAAAGGAGCCCATTCTCCATAAATCAAAAGCAAACCTATTGCCATCGAGTTGATTCTGACTCATAGTGACCCTATAGGACAGAGTGGAACTGCCCCATAAGATTTTCTAGACTGTAATCTTTATGGAAGCAGAGTGCCAGGTCTTTTCTCCTGGAGAGCTGCTGGTGGGTTCGAACTGCTGACATACTGTTTATCAGCCAAGTGTATAATCGCTGCATCATCAGGATTTCTCATTGCCTGCCTTAAAGAAACCTCATTGCTGTCCAGTAGATTCCAACTCAAAGAGACCCTCTAGGAGAGAGTAGAACTGCCCCATATGGTTTCTAGGCTGTAACTCTTTATGGAAGCAGACTGCCACATCTTTCTCCTGCAGAGCATTTAGTG